TTCGTGGCATGCGGACGACCGTGGCTACTACACTGGCGCATGGTTTCAATGACTTATTTGACATGTGTCCCGCATGGTATTATTTGACAGGGATGATGGCCCTGGCAGGTGCGCAACCGTTGTTGCAGAAGTTCGAAAAAGTTGATCGCAAAAGCCCGTTTGACAGAAATGTTTAAAAAGTGTTGGGTTTCCTGCAAATCCGCAAGAGCGCGCGGGATGAAATTGTGACACTTTTTTTTTAAAAAAAAAACCATTGGTTTTTTGATGTTTTTATGTTGAAATCGCTACGAACACTAAGGTTTTGGAAGGATTTCGTCTTGCGCGCGCGAATGTCCACTTTACCTTATTTTTTGCAAGGGATTCTTGAAGTTTGGTTATTTTAGAACAAGAAATTTCATTTTATAGTGTTTTTTGCAAGGGACAGCGGGGGGGAACAAAACAACCGGATCTTGATGACATCGTATTACCTGAGGCTTCCTCACGAAAATGATGAAAATGTAGCTGCGGCCTAGGCGCGGCGAGGGGGTCGCGCACCAGGGGTCCCAACAATAATTATTCTTTAGAATAAATAATGTTCAACAACAATAACAACAACAACACCAACAACAACAGCCACAACAGCAACAACAACAACAACAACAACAACGCAACAAGCGGAATTATCACCACGAATCCCTTATTCAGCCACGCACCCAGGGACATTAAATGACCGTTCGGCCACCTCACTCTGATAAGTATGTTGGGGTGACGCCGATTTATCTCAGCGGTTTGATCATACGGTGCGCGCACTGTATAAGGAACCATTGCATCAGGAATACAGGGTCTGGGAGCCAGGTGCAACACCAACTGGGGCTTGTCCATGGACATCACCGCCGTCCTCATCAGATAGGATATGCGAGGCGGGGATTTATCCACATCCACCGCCTGGGAACCGACGTCCTGGTGCCCCAGCGGGCGGTGGATATGGACATATTTCGGCCCCCGGGGGCCCGAATACGTCCATTTCCACCGCCCGCCGAGGCTCCGAAAACTAACCCTCCAGGCGGTGGCCATGTGTAAATTCCCGCCTCGGAAAGGAATGCTCCAGGGTCTGCAGCCACCTGGGCACAGCCCTCCACAAACGCCACGACCGTATGACTCCTCTCTCTCTCTCCCTCGCCCACGGGCGACCGCGGGCGCGCCCGGGGGGGAAGACACGGCTCCCGCGCGCGGGCCGGGTCGGCCCGGCAACCTTTTTCTGAATGTTCGCGACGCCTCTTGAGCAGGGACCGACCGTCCCGGCATTTCTGTAGGCCTACCACGAAAAGTTCTTTGAACCCAAAAATCTTCTAATGTTCTTAGAACATAAGCCCGATGCACAAACAAAACAGTCCCAGCCAGAACTGTTCTACGAAAAATTCGTGCAGACCACAAGAGGTTCTTAGAACATTCTTTGGTGGGCCTTCTTTGGTGGGCCTATAGGCGAGCCAGGACGCTTCGCCACTGCTTGAGCCTCGAGGTCTCCGGCAGAGAGGGCGGCGATGGCTCGCAGCGGGCACGAAACTCTGCGTCGCTCGTCTGCTCCTAAGATGGGCCCGTGTCATCGTTGAGGGCTTGATGACTGCTGCCGTCCCACGGCTCGCGCTGGATCGGTCACGAGTTGCTCCAAGATTCCCTGCGGATCTCTGGCGGGGACAGACCTGTATTCATCTAGATGTACCAAGACTTACCTGGATGCACTTCAAGTGAAATTACCTTGGTTTATCCGGCTTGATCCCCACAAGTAGATTGTCGAAAAGTCGTCAAGCCCTTAGGGATGAATAGGGCGGCCCGAGACCGCACCGCATCGCCGATGCAGTCGATGCTACATCGGCGACGCCAGGATGAGAGGAATCCAGCCCCAAGGCCGCGCCGCGTCTCGGATGCATCGGCGATGCGATGCGATCGGGGGGTTCCGTGTGTTCCGATCTACCGCGCTGTTGAAATAGAAAAAGAAAAAACGCCACAAACATACAATCTTGGCGCTCCGCGCGGATTTCCTGGATCCGCTCTGAACCCCCCGACTATTTTTGGACTATTTGCTCGGGCCCAAGAAGGTTGCAAGACGGTGGCGCGTAATTTGTTCGGGCCCAAGAAGGCTCCAAGACGGGCCAAGAGGGCCCCAAGAGGCCCCGAAGACGGCACAAGAGGGCGCCAAGAGGCCCCGGGCGCCGCGGCCGTTCCACAGCGATCTGGAACGTTCCTGAGAGCGTCCTGGAACGCGCTGGAGCGATCCGTCCTCATCCAGGGCCTGTCTGGCGGCCCCCAGCTCTCGACGCCACGTCTCGAGCCGGATCGATCAGCGAGGGCCCCAGGGGCCCAAAGCGGACAGAAGCGCCCGTCGAGCCGTTTGCTGCTCAGCGACGCTACGGCTGCACAGCGGGGAAACATGCACGTGCACAGCCTGGGAAGACTGACTGCCTGGGGCCCCGGGGCCCAGATGCATCCATGTCCACCGCCTCCCGAGCTCCAGGAAGATCGGTTCCCCAGGCGGCACGCAGGTACAAATCCAAGCCCCTGGAGCGTGCCACTTGGGCAACTATCTTCGCGCTTCGCGCTCCGCGAAGCGCGAAGCGCGATTGCCTTCGCGCTTTCGCGCCGACCCCCCACCTCCACGGGAACAGGATGAGGGACTCGCGCCTCGCTCTGAAATCGCCCAGACCGCGAGGCGCGAAGCGCGACTAACTTCGCACCATCATGGTGGCCCTAGGTGCCAGCGCATCCCCGACGGATGGCTGCGTACCGAGGCCTTGTAGTTGTTGCAGCCGAGGACGACGCCCACGATGTTCTTGCCGATGTCGTGCACGTCGCCCTTGACGGTGGCCATCAGCACGGTGCCGTTCCACTTGGGCTGGTCTGGGTCCTCGCCATTGGCTAGCGCGGCAGCGCGCTTCTCCTCCTCCATGAAGGGCGTCAGGTAGGCGACGGCCTTCTTCATCACGCGGGCGCTCTTGATAACCTGCCGCGTATGTTGCGTACTCGGAGGAGCTTGTCTGTCCCATCGCGTCGCCATTCGCGTCGAGCCGCGTCGAACCCACGTCGAGTCCACGTCGAATCCGCGTCGAACCCACATCGGACGCAAGACAGTCCCACAATTTGCAGGACAGACGAAGACTCCAGAAGTTGTAACGAAACTTTGGAGGCCTGGAATTTGGCACCAACACCAGCACAGGGGGTTGCCTCCACATGGGGAATATGATCCTAGATGTCGGTGTTAGTGGTAATGTTTCGGTCACCTAGGAAGCCAGAATATTGCCACCATCACCGAGATCGGGATCGTCTTCCCTCGGTGGAGGCACACCGCCGATCTTGGTGTTAGTATCAACCTCTAGGCCTGCGATAACTTCTCCTCCTGTCAACCCTTCCCTCGGACACTGGCACCGTGAACCATACACGGGCGTTTCCGGGCACGATGTCGGGCCCCGAGCCCTCGCAGACCGAGCCGACTCGAGAAGTGCCGCAGCCCGTTGATCCGATGGGCTCCCATCCGTGTTGTTGCGAAGGCATATGTTTTATAACGTGGAATACAATCGGGGCGTTGACCCAAGGAACCCTAAATGAGGAACGAGGCCCCTCTTTTCCATAAGTTGAACTGAAGAGTGCAGCGGCAACGGCTTCCGGAAATCCATCCGACCGATAAACCGATAAACCGATAAAAACTAATCGGTTGAACGGTTTGCAAACCGATCAACCGAAAAACCTATATAATTTGATCGGTTTATCGGTGGATCGGTCGCTCAACCGAAAAACCGATAAACTTCGTATGCGAACATAGAGGCGATTGCTGGCGCGCCCCCCTCTCTTCGTCGGTTTATCGGTTGATCGGTTTATCGGTTTATCGGTTGATTGGCTGGTCTGAGACCGCTGGGGGGGACCCTGTGGAGGCGATCCTTGTGCCGCATATCGGTTTATCGGTTTATCGGGTTATCGGTTGGTTGTCAGTTCCCCGCCACGACGACGACGGCGACGGCGACGGCGACAGTGGCCGGACCGCCATGGGGCAGGGCACCTCCGAAGTCAGAGAAAGGTGCGAGGGCGTCTCAGGCGCAAGTGGCCTGAACACCGCATCTCGGGGAAGATCGGGGGTCCGACTACGTGAAGGCAGGGCACATCCCAGGTCAACGCTGCGAGTTTTTGCGTAGGCGGAACTGGCCTTATGAGATGAACTCCCTCTACAGAAGCCAACATGGCATCTTGAATACTTTACTCCGCAAGTACTCTGCGGGGTACTCTGCGGCCCGTTCGCGTTTTTATTTAAAGTACTCTGCAAGTACTCTGCGGCGCCAGTCTTTCTGGCATTTTTTTTTATGACCTAGAAAATGTACTATGCATTTTTTTTCCTGTCCTGGTTTGCGACGGCTTCTCATTTTGTGTGATGGCCCGTGACGACAGCGCCAAGGTTTAAACAAAAAAGGAGGAGGTAATCTATGAGGGTGTATGGAGGATCGGAAAAGGGCGGCTCACGTAAGGGGGGATGTAGGAGGGACGAGGACGTGAAACAGTAGACGGTGATAGTGCGTGCGGGAGGCATGGGTTGTGGTAGCAGGGTGGCAATATCATCGGTGGAACACAGAAATGTGGAGGGGGGTTGGCGTTCCGCCAAGTTCGCTTGCAGCTACATTCATGTGTTCAGTGATATTTGTTTGTTATGGTTGCCTTGGGGCACCTTGTCGGCGCGGTTGGACGCGGTCCGAGTGGACTGTGGAGCCCCCCATTGGGCCACGAACCGCGTGAGGGATGTGCCGAAATGGGCGGCGGGCTGCATCGGTAGAACAGTATCACCAGCAAGCGCAACACCATCGTGCAAACACAAAACACAGAGGCAGACTCGTTCAAGCCGTTTTGGCTCCATGTTGAGGCGGGGCTCCTCTGCGCACCAGCGGTGCAGGGCCGCATGCCCGCCCCGCCTAGGAAGCGCGGGCGTCCATCTTTGTTGAGACGAGTTCTTGATGAGGACACCGCGGGTGCTTCGTCAGACTGCGATGCCGACCACGCTGCGCGAGGTGCTGCTCTCGTGCCCAGGCGTGCCCGCAAACACCAGGAGAAGGCTCCAACATTGGCGACAGTCCCGAAATGCCTCATCGCACACCCGCAGAAAAGCCTCTTGCCTGTTCCGTCGTTTGAGCTGGGGGCTTTCCTGTACGCCAGTGTCAACGAGTTTCAGTGCGGACATTGTCAGTTTCTCCAGCCGCAGCTGATAGAGCTTGCCAAGGGATTCTTGTGTGCGCCCAGTATATACAGCATCAGCAGGACACTTACGACAGCGGGCCATGATCTTGGAATGAATTCAGACTGGGTGTCGACACAACGGCGGAGGATTGCATCATCAGGGATGTTGGTCGAGCGAGACCGTCAGGTAGCCTTGCAGGTCCTCCTCCTCATCCTCCTCCTCCTCTTCCTCCTCCTCCTCCTCCTCCTCCCGTCTTACCTCCTACCTCCTCCCTCCTAGCTCCTCCCTCGTCCCTCCTCCCTCCTACCTCCTCCGTCATACGTCCTCCCTCCTCCGCCCCCCCTCCCCCCCTCCTCCACCCGCGCGCCCGAGAGGTCCTTCTCGGCAAGGCAGTTTCAGATGACGTTGAGCTGGTCGCGGTCGAGTACGATTTGATGACGCAAGCATCCCAGAGGGACCATACTGCCCTCGATCGAAAGTGACTGACGGCCCCAGCAAAAATGACGTCTGAGACTCGACGCGACGCTCACGAGTTTCAGGACCATGTGAATACTGCCCTCGATCGGCTGGGCAAAGTGACTGGTTTCAAAGAAACGGCCCCAGCAAAAATATTCCAGACTCAGCACGCTCACGGATTTCTATTTTCAGTTCGACAGCCAGGGTCTGAGTCCAGACAGTACATTATCATACGGACAAACACAGTTGGTTTACCAAGCGTTCTTCAGCGAACAACGGCGTCAATCATAGCTCAAGCTTTGAAGAAGTCGAGCAGTCTGAGATGTAGGGCGGTCGCTGCTGCTAAATGCTCGGTCCGCTTGATTTGCAGCGACCGCTACGCCGCGCAGTTCCTGGCGGAGTCGTGGCTGCAGGCCGATCGGCCTGGATGGTGCCGTTTACACATAGGTTGCGAGATACACAAGTCGACGGCCTGCCAGGCGAAGGGTTTGTTGTTGGCTGAGTGGTGTGTGTCTGGCTGTATTCGGGTATCTTTGAGCTTACGTCTAGGTGGATGGATGCGAATATTCAGGCAGTGCTTGCTTCAGGAAATATCTTCAACCATTTGTATCAAGCAGGGGCGTTGCCCACCAGAGGCGACCAGACATCGACAGATGTGTTTGCGGGTGTACGCTGGGCACAACGTCAGACGCCAGAGAAAGCTTCAATGTATCATGCAATGCCTTCCCAATGGTGATTGGACTCGTACGGACTGCGTTGAGGTGTACCTACAGCCAGGTGTTGCATACGACCAGAAGAACGTTGCTGGCCTCGTCGCAAAGGGTCTGATGTTGTGCCTCGCTGGAAACATGTTTAAGATATTCAACAGAAAGCGTTGGACAGACAACGACGAAGCCGTGAATCAGCTTGGGCTCCTGCAGGCTTGCCACGGGCTTCTGGCTAGAGTGTTCAAGCGGTGGCTCGTGCAAGCTGGGTACAACGGCAATCTGGACATCGGGGTTGGCGACCACCCGAGCAGACGCGACAGACCTGCACTACTGGACCCAATAGCCGACGACGTCGATCCTGCTGCTGGCCTCGTTGGACCTCCCGAAGTCGGCGACGACGGAGGTGGTGGTGCCCCCCCAGGAGGTGGCGACAGAGGAGCGCCTGCCAAATCTTCAGATAAACAAGACGCGTACGCCGAGCTGAACGCCAAGAACCGGAGGATTGCTCTGCGTTGGTTGAACGGGGAACCTACCAGCGACCTTCTCGTCATCAGGTTGGCGATGGAGCCATCCATGATGGTATTGCGGCAGCAACTGCGCATCGGTTCAGCATCGTGGGAGAGGTCGCAGGCGATACATGCTGCAAGTGGAGGCGCTACGAATGGGCAACGAGATTACAGAATATTGGTTTCCGCCAGGGGCGATCTAGACACGCTGTTCGCCGACGCCACCCGCCAGTTCATGACAACCGAGGGGTTTTTCTGGGTGGTGATGCCTGAAAGCAGCATCACTGAGTATTGGAGGTGCTTGGCGTTCAGAATGGCAAGCAGGGCGGCTGCGGAGTACACGAGGCTTCTGACGTTTGTTCACAAGAGGCCGCCTTTCTTGTTGTTTCTCAGTGTGCACTACCCCGCCGTCGTGTTGCAGCTGAGGCAGTTGCCCCGCTGTTTGCTGGACCCCTTCACGAAACACATCATGGACACATTCGACTTAGAGTCTCCAGAGCTGAAAGGGTTCCTGACGCTGCTCATGCTGATGGGGTACACGGACACTGCGGAGATCGAGTGCTGGCATGCTTGGGTGCGCCGCTTCCTCATTCGCAGGGGCGCCCAAGCTCACAGGCCAGAGTTTGGGGACGTGAACGCAGAGGCCTTCGCCCACAGGCTGAAGGTTCGGAGCCTTGAAGTGCTGGAGTGGCTGCACGCCGACGCAGTGGGCCAGTACCATGCAGCGTTCAACGTGGGGGGAGATGGCGATGAAGATCCACCCAGCAGCAAGGCCAAGCAGAAGCAGAAGCGCGGCGGAGGTGGCGAGTGGAGGGCGTTCGTCAGCAGCCAGCTTCACCAGGGCATTACGGACTTCCATGAGATATCACTCCGCTACTTGGTACGGACCGAGGCAGAGAGGCATGACAACATTCGAGCGGGGGCTGTCGGCACAGATCTACACAGACAAGGGCAGCGTGCATTCGGGCCGACACTGAAGGATCGGCGCGCGCAGGATTTGCACACCGAGGCTATCGCGTTCAACCGCCGACACCCTTTGGAGGATATCGCTTGCGTGTCGTCAGCCCCAGCACCGGCCGCCGTGGAGATGGAGGGCCACACGGAGGACCGAGTGCAACATATGATGGCTTTGGTTACCGCAGTCTGCAAGTTGGACCATCAGCGGCGCCAATGGCGTGAAGAGCGGGGCGCTGCGGTGATCAAGGATTTTGTCAGGACACAGTCAGACGAGCTTCTACGAGAAGTGGTATCTCGCATCAAGGGGCTGAGCCCTTGGGCTGGGAAGCTCGTGGCAAAGCCTGTCCTGAGGCTTCCAGGGCTTGATATTACTTGTTGCGATGCCTGCTTCGAGACTGACCTCTTCACTTTCTCTACTGCCAAGATGCTTGCTACTGCCCCGAGAGCTGGAGGCAATTGGGCGGCAGCCTTGGATAACCATTGGACGGCCAGCCACAGGCCAGTGTTCGAAGGCGAGTGGCGCGGGCCTACGACGTGCGATGACACACAGACGCAATGTTATAAGTACGGATACTGTGTATGTAGCAAGCCAGGCCGCAAAGTCTTGCGATTGCGCAACTCCGTGCTGACAGCGATCAAGGAGTTCGGCCCCATGCGCTCTGACAAGCGGGACATGCTGGTTGATGGCTTCATCGTGATGCGCCTCACGGGCACCCCCGTCGACTCCGTGTTCGCTGGACTTGATGACCCAGAGCTCGAAGCAGCGGACTCGGTTGTGGTATGGTGGCATATTTCTGAACTGCTTCTTCTTCCATATCTTCCTGTTGTTCAGCCGATGGACTTCGCTTTCGATGGGGACAGGCATGGCGCACTTGGCGGTGGTGCAGTTACGTTACAGGCAGCTCGGAGAGGGGGAGGAGGAGGAGGAGGAGGAGAAGGAGGAGGAGGAGGAGGAGGAGGAGGAGGAGGAGGAGGAGGAGGAGGAGGAGGAGGAGGAAGAGGGGGGAGGGGAGGGCAGGTCGGAGTGGCGTTGGGGCCCGCGCGTGCGCCCGCAGGCAAGCTGCGAGTACTTGGTGGACTTCGAGGCCTTCGCGGAGCTGGACATCGAGAACTACACCTGGAGCTTGAAGTTCTACAGGCTGTGCCAGACTCCTGTTCAGCTGCCGCGGTGGGAGTTCATTCTAAAGTACCAGCGTGCCCTGCCCGTTGATTATGAAGAAGTTCAGGTGTGGCCACCCCCGTGGCGCCCCCGACCCCCGAAACCTGGTCGCGGGGGCAGGGGTCGGGGTGGCCGTGGCCGCGGAGGGGGCAGAGTCATAGGCGGACGGGCAAGAGGTCCAGGGGGCCGAGGGGATCCAGCACCCATCATGGACGATGACCCTGGAGGCCCATCTGATGGCAGCGATGGTGGCGCCCCTCTCGAGGATGTCTACGACGACGACGGCCCTGGCGCGAGGGCCGATCCAGCCGTCGACGAGGGGGGCGAAGGCCCTGGGGGGCCTCACGAGGACCCAGAGGAGGTGCTCATTCCAGACGATCTCCAGGAGACGCGGCCAGTTGCGCTTCGCCCATACCCGCACCCCTCCAGGTTGAGGAGGAGGGGGATGTAGGAGGAGGAGGAGGAGGATGGGGGAGGGGAAGGGGGAAGAGGAATATGAGGAGGGGCGAGGATGATGATGATGAGGGGGAGGAGGAGGAGGAGGAGGAGGAGGAGGAAGAGAATGAGCAGGATGAGGAGGAGGACCACCAATGTCCAAAGACATCGATCCCCAATCCTCTTGGGTCGAAGTTCCAAACTTCAGAACTCCCAGGGACCGCTCAAGGCTGAACGCATCCTCGGCGTCAGAATCCAACGCCCGAGGGGTCTAGGTTTTCCGAGCGCTCACTACGTCAAAAGGCCTCCCGCCCGCCCGCTTACCCCAGGAGGAGATCATACACGCGGAGTTTCTCGAAGAGGAGCCACCACCGCCCGACGAGGCTGATGATGGCGATCAGGCCGACGGAGACGGTGGTCCCGACGTCGAGGGCGACGACGGCGGGCACGGGGACCTGCTCGCGGGCGACGCTGGCATCCTCGTTGGCGCCGGGGGCGCCGCGGCGGCAGCTGGTGCAGCTCACGACATGGGTGCAGCCGCAGCCCCTCCCGCGGGAATTGATCATGGCCCTCGGGGCCGTGCAGACGCTATTGCATATGTAGGCGGTGGCAAGATATCGCTCTATTTACGGAGTCGTAGATTTGAGGCTGTTTGTGCAAATCCAGACCATGGAGTCTGCAAGAAGGCGCGAGTGATTGAGTTCAGCCACTTGGCTCCGAGGCCCCCTCTAGCTTATTTGGCCGCGTGGCTCGGCAAGGGCCACGTGGCATCGAAACCTGCGCACTGGTCAGCTGAGAACGAGCCAACGGATGCTGAGATCAGAGCGGCCAGGGACGACTTGAAAGCAAACGCTGACCCCAACGTAGTCGAACTTCTCGAAACGGAGCGGCGCGGGTACCCCGATGCTGGTCTGTAGAAGTTGCATGTTTCTGAGTTTTTTGTTGGCAGAGCCGAGCGCAACCAGCCATTTTGGCAAAGCGCCTCTTCGGATCCCTTGCCTATCCGTGTCAGCTATTCATTCCTGCCTTACCCCCTCCCCTCTCCTTCCACGCGAATGCGGGGTCGGCGAGGGAGTGGGGGGAAGACAGGCGCGGGGGCGACCCGCCTTTCAGGGCCGACGAGGGAGCCAGCAGCTAGCATCAAAATGCAAACCCAAAAAGTGCGAGGCTGTGCAAATGAGGATGCGGGAAGGGGGCCGAGGGATAGGGGAGGGAGGGACGAGAGGTGCCAGGTCCAAAAGGGGGTACTCGAAAACGCCCCCATCTTCCTCCCCCTCCCCCGCTGCCCAACCTCCTCTCAGGATCCACCCCACCTGCCGCCCCGTTTGTTGGCAGAGAGCTCGGTCCACGATGCCACCGATGCGACTTCGAGGCAACGCCGATGCTACTTACGTCATGCCCCCAGGAAAATGATCTCCCTCGTTCGCACCCTCCACATCCTTGCTGGCTGGCCCTTTGCGATAACGTTGCGGCCCGCCGCCCGAGGCGACCTCGGGGCGGCAGAGTTTCTGCAGAGCACGCCTGCGCCAACTTTCGAGGGGACCTCGCCCCGCAGACTGCTTGGCCGAGTGCGCCCCGACCGAGGTACTCCGTCGGAGTACTTGCCCGACGGCGCTCCGACCAAGGTACTCTGCCAGAGTACTTGCTCGCCCCCCCCCCCGACCGAGGTACTCTGCCAGACGACCCCCCCGCCCGCAGAGTACCTGGCAGAGTACCCTGCGCCCCCACCCCCCCGCGCAGAGTACCCCGCAGAGTACCCCGCAGAGTACTTGCAGAGTACTTTTCCTCGAAAAAAGTACTCTGCAAGTACTCTGCAAAGTACTCTGCAAAGTACTCTGCAAAGTACTCTGCGCGGGGGGTACTCTGCAAAGTACTCTGCAAAGTACTCTGCACGGGGGGGTACTCTGCACAGTACTCTGCGGGGGGGAGTCCTCTGCAAAGTACTCTGCACTGTACTCTGCGACCCGATGGGGCTGGGGGGGTGCTCTGCAGGGTGGTCTGCGGCCAAGGGCGTCGCCGAGAGGTGCCCTGGCAGAGTACGTGGAGCCCAGGGCGAGGCCCAAGCAACAGGAGTTGCTGCCGTTCTACTCGACCCCTCCCCCGCCCGCCCCTGCTCGCTTGCCCACCCTTAGCATCGTCCCCTGCAACCTTGTCGGTTTCAGCATCCGCTCCTCTTCCTGATCACACTCGCCATTGATCCAGCCTCCTCACCAACCTCGAGTAACCTCCCACGTGCCAGTTTGCATTGCGTCAATTCGCAGAGCTCGTGCAGATACTGCTGCAGTGGAGAGCTCGCAGCTCGCTGATTTTGGATTCGTGGAAAGAATCCGTCGGGTCGCTGGTTGATGCGCACGACGGCAGGGGCATGGCCTTGAAGTGGGCAGCCAAGTAATGCGACCAAAAACATGTGTGCCAGAGGCGGAGGAGGAGGATGATGATGATGAGGAGGAGGAGGAGGAGGAGGAGGAGGAGGAGGAGGAGGAGGGGGATGAGGATGAGCAGGAGGAGGATGCGGTCGAGCAACTCGACGAAGAGGGAAATCCTGACACCACGTGTTTTCAAGTTGGCGGGGGAGGAGGAACATGAGAAGGAGGGGGGGGGGGGGATGAGGAGGAGGAGGAGGAGGAGGAGGAGGAGGAAAAACGATGCGACGCATGCACTGCGGTTCGTTGCGGCTTAGCTGAGCGTGCGGGCGGGGGGGCTCTTTGGGAGGGGGGGGGCTCTCTTGGCCTTCGGATCTCCAGAACTCCAGGCACACTTGGGGCCCTCATGGTCCCACTCGGGCAATCTCGTGGACCCGATGTTGAGCCATCATGTGGCCCATTGGTTGCGGTCATCTGATATCCCAGCTGCTGGAAAGGTCAGTCTCAAGATGTTGCATTCGAGTGATGGTTTCAAGTGCCTTAGATGTTTTGGGCTTCTCCAAGTCTGTCTCTGGGGGATTCACTAAGCTCCTGTCGGGGCTCCCTGGGCCCCAGGTAATCTGTCATACCAAGTCAAATAATAACTGCACCAATTTCCGCCCCTTTGATGTCTTTGTAAATTGCGATGGCTTCCGCCGCTCCTCCGTGCACCCTCGCTCCGAAGGTAAGCTCTGGGAAGGCGTGTAGCCTGACGGGGTAACATGCGTTGGAATCACATGCCAGCGAGGGCTCGCACGGGGAATCGCTTGAGTGTCCACACGTGACGAAATCATGTCCTACAACATGGGGCACCCTTTCTATTTTCGGTGTCTGCTGCATGGTGGTTTCCTCCAGGTCTTCCCCAGATACGTATTCGTCTTCCTCCAAGAGGCCTTCGTGGAAAGGGCACCAGAGGGCCCCAAAACGGCACAAGAGGGCCCTAAGACGGCTTCTAGAGCAGGCTCCCAAGAGGGCATAACTCCGTCAAATATTATATACGTGGTTTGGGCTTGGGCTTCTAAGAAGAGAGCCCCGAACACCAAACAATAACGTATATGCGTTGGCGCTGTGCTTTCAAGAGAGTTCTGGTGGGCCCCAGGGTGGCCCCACGAGGGCGCCAAGGGGGGGGCGCGAGGGCCCCGAGAGGTGCCCAACATGGCTCCAGGGGATCTCCAATACTAGGACCGCCACAAGGCCGTCTTGGGCCTCCCGAGGGGATGGGCGGCAGTTGCTGTTCGGGTTCCAATGGCCCGTCGGGCCCTCGGGAATCCAAGGGGGCCCATGAGAGCGCCCTTGGGGTCTCGAGACAGCCGCCGCACCCATAAGAGGGCGAGGTGGGATAAGTGTCACGCTTGACACGCGCGTGCCGTAGTATCCACCGTTGTCCCCGCGTAGCCGTTTTGGCTCGACGCGCAAGCGCGCGTCTTGGCGATAGCACCAGGTGTTGCAACGACAGCACTCGACTACAGACGTTCATACACCACGCAGCGCATCCATGGCGAAGCGGGGCAGGGACCTTACTAGAAAGAAGGGAAAGGCTGCGGCCTCTGGCTCGCGCCGTCGCCAGGATGACGATGAGGATAGCAGCAGCCTGGCTGATTCGCAGCAGCCCAACAAGTGCGCGAAGTCGGGCCGTCAACCACCTCGCTCTGCTAACCCTGGAGCTCCTCCTCGCGGGCCTAAGGTTATGATCTGCACGAGGTGCAAGGAAAACGACAAGGATAAGCTGTTCGCGTTGGACCAGAAGCTGCCCCTTGCACAGCCCGACCAGTGTTGCGACTGCTACTACATTTGGGTGCCCCTCTCGATGCTGCTGCAATGGGATGAGTTCTGCACTAAGTACGAGGATGACGAGGACTTCAGGCGGAGGGTCAAAGCTGCGTCCAAGAACCCCAACAAGATGACGACGTACTACTCAGGCTTCTTCAAGATGGACGTGGCCAATGTGCAGAAGTTTGGCATCGAGCTATCTCGGAACGGCAGCTTCCTCACGGAAGCGCAGGTGAGGGAGGAGTTGGGCCAGACTCCAAAGCAGGCCAAACTCGGAGAACCCGTCCCGCTGGATCTCCCCGATGGCGATTCACAGAGTGGCTACTTGTTCATGAACGCGAAGAGCAAGACCCTGGACGTCAAGGTATTTGCAATTACTTCTGTCGATTCGTCGGCGTTCACCGCCAACAGGGATGACCAGCCCATGAACATCGGCCCCGAGGCGCTGCAGCGAGCTTTCGACGAACTCGGCGACAAGAAGACGGCCCTCTCGAACTTCCTGGTCGGCAAGGCGCCGCATCTGAAAGCTGAGGAGGCCACCTCCCGCTTTGGCAAGAGAGAGCGGAGGCGCAGGAGAGAGGAGCTCGGTTCCGATGGAGATGAGAGTGACGATGGTCAACGAGGCGGCGGCGCCATTACACGGAGGAGTAGTCGCTGTGGCAGCCCTATTGCCACCAGGACGGTGCGTTCTGGGGCCGATGGCACTTTGAGCCCAGGCGCTGCCCTGTCGGGCGGGAAAGGTCCCTCGGGGTCCCCGAAGGGGGAGCTTACCATCATCGTGGACATCGGCGACGGCAAGAAATTGAATGCTGTGTCAATGTTGGAGATGGAGGAACTCGGCGACGTCCATGGTGGCTCGAAGGCTGGTGACCTCGACGATACCGCGAGCAGGGCAGGGAGCGACATGAGCAAGAGCAGCAAGGTCGTCGGAGCTGGGGGCAAGAAGCTGAAGAGGGGCGAGGCCTTACCGTGCAGCTACTGGATCAAAAAGATACCTTTGGCCGTTGTGTTAAAGTCAGACAAGTCTGATAGGCGGGACGTCCGTCAAGCTGCAGCGGCAGTGAGCCGAGAGTCGGGAAAGTCGCAAGCAAATCAGGACAAGGACTTGGGCAGGTTGAAGGCGCACCTGAGGAACGTCGACCACGCAATGAATCTCTGCCAGTCGGGAGCGGCCTCTTGCGATGACGGCAATCTCTGGGACGCTTTGAAGGCAATGGAGAGAATCAAGCAGCCGCTGCCGCACACGACCCTCCTCGGACTGCTCGAGCGCTACACTGGCACACTGACGAAGTCTATACTGATCAGTGGCCGACAGGACGACATCGCCAAGCTATGGGCAGCCGTGGTGCCTTTCGGCAGTGAGGGCGCATCCAAGGCGCCGTTCGTGGTGCGTGAGCCGAAGATGCTCATCTTGACTACTGTGTTCGAGCCTTCCGACGTGATCTGCCAATTCATCAATACCATAGTCAGTGGAATATTGGTCCCTTTGGTTACATCGACTTCAACTTTGGGTGACGAGAAGGGGGCCATTTTGACCAGGGTCTGCGCAGCAGGGCTGAGCGCATTGGATCTCCCAGAAGATGCATACATCGAGGAGGAGTATCTCACGCTGACCTTGAACACCACCACGCTCCTCAAGGCCTTGGCCACTCTGATGTGCCCCGACATCGCTGACGATTCCTTTGACGGGTACGAGGCGCTTGGTGAAGTCTTCGACCAGGCGAACGCGGCGGACGAGCACATGATGACTAACATCGGCATTGCGATCTCCGCGAACACCTTTTTCGGCCCTCTCTTTACCAAGCTGGCCGACGCAAAGTCCACCATCATCGAGAAAGGACGCAAGCTTCATCAGCTTGTCGCGGCTGCGATCGCAGCAGATACGTCGTCTGTGTCCGAGCGCATTGCAAAGATCGAGGCCGGCCTGGTCGGGCTTGAGACGTACCAGCCGTCCTTGCCACCCGAGTGCGTGGCCAGCATGCCCGCGAAGATGCTAGAGATGCTTGCAACGTTGGTCACCGAAGCCACCGTGGGCACAGGAGAGGCGTTCACTGTGTCGCAGCTGGCCGAGCTGCAAAAGGTCATTGGCAAAGGCAGTCATGTCTTCCCTTCCGAGGCGAGGGTGGACACCTGGATCGAGGCTGTCGGGATGAAGCTCCACGAGTCTGGCAAGACCGACTACGCGAACAGCTTGTTGGCGCTGATCGACGCCAAGTGGGGCCAGCTGGACTCGAAAGAACTAACCGACAAGGTCGAGCAACTCAAGTCCTGGGGGTGGAGGCACGACGTGGACTTGAACGAGGAGCAGACCAAGGGTCTGACGAACGCCAGGGCAGCAATGATTGAGCTAGCGTTCAAGAAGATCGGCCACATCGACTCAGACGAGACATCGAACCTGATTGACATCATGTTGGACTGGGCGTCCAAACTGACATCGGTATTACCCAGTGGAAGTAATAAGAAGTTATTCACCAAGCAGGACAGCATGTACAAGACGACAAAGGTTGCGATGATAGCACTCACAGAGTTCAAGAAGTTGGGTGACGTGCACAAGTGTACCGAGGATGACAAGGATATGGCGAAGAGCCAGCGCCTCCTCCGCTCGGCCGAGTCCCTGAGCAAAAGCATCGAGCAGGTGAAAGGTTGTGGTTTCGATTGGTCAGAGGATCGTCTCATTGAGAACCTGGACAAGGAGCTGACCCAGCTCATCCCTGAGATCGGATCGAAGAGGGTGGAGCTGCTGACTGAGATGATGAAGAATGAGTGGACAACGGTCGAGAGGGGCAAGGGAGGGCACCCCGACGAAGACGGCAAGAGCTGGCTCAATGGGGCCCCCGAGGATTCGTGGGAGAAGTTCGTTGATCATTTCAAGGCCACGCTCGGGAGGATCAACATCGAGGCCCTGGAGGCTAGCCTCGAGAAGGTCGAGCAGACAACGAAGCAGATCGGAGATATCTTCATGGAGTACATGCCCGAGTATAAGGATGCGCACGAGGTGAACCGCGCCGAGATCATCACCGAGTGCCAGATGACGGTGGCCGCTCGCCACATCATGAGAGCGATCACCACGGTCAACGACAAGGTCTTGCTGCGCACGACCATCAGGGACGTCGCCCAGACCTACATGATGAACCGCAAGCTGAAGGTGGCAGCGTTCCCCACCATCATGAGGAACGCCATCTCCCAGGGCCTCAAGCAGCAGCGCATCGTCGGCTAGCTGCTAGCTGCTGCTAGCTCCTGAGGCCGCCGGCGGCGGCCCCGCATGTCCGAGGACTTGCGGCGGGGTGGAGGATGGAGGGGAGCAGTGGGGAGGATGGCAGGGGCGAGGAGGAGGAGGAGGAGGAGGAGGAGGAGGAGGAGCAGGAGGAGGAGGAGAAGGAGGAGGGGCACGAGGCAGGCTGGGGAGGAGGAGGAAGGGGATGATGAGGGGGAGGAGGAGAGAGGGATGATGAGGGCGAGTGGGGGGAGGGCATACGTAGGGCTTAGGATGAGGAGGAGGACCAGAGGGGGAGGGGTGGAGGAGGAGAAGGAGGAGGAGGAAAAGGAGGAGGAGGAGGAGGAGGAGGAGCAGGAGAATCGGCCTTGAACCGCAAGTTTTTGCTGCTCTCGAGGCGGGGGCGGCTGGCACCGCCAGAAGGGGGACCACGCGCACGCACGCATGCAGACGCACGCACGCACGCACGCGCGCCTACGCACATGTGCGCACACACGCACACACACACACACACGCCGACACACACATACGATGCAATGACATGCCTTGCGTCCCCGCCGAGATGCAGTCGCAGCACATGTCCCGCTGTGTTGCTGCACGTTCGCGGATGGCTTCGTCCGTGAGAGCCCCGTGGCAAGGAACACGCAAACAAGTCTTGGCGCCGCGGCCCCGAGGAAAAGGAGGTGGAGGAAGGGGGGCAGGACGACAACGACGTGGGGGAGGAGGGCGAGGAGGGCGACGCGGAGGAGGAGGAGGAGGAGGAGGAGGAGGAGGGCGAAGGAGGAGGAGGAGGAGGAGGAGGAGGAGGAGGAGGAGGGGGGATGTCCTTAGCCATTTTGGTTCGAGCCATTCGGCGGTTTGGCTCGAACTCCCTCGCGTCTACTGCGGTGCGCCCTTTGCGCGTTTCGCCGTAGCCCCGCACGGGCTTCCATCGAGTGCCCCAGCGGCCGCGGCCCCCGAGTGCGCATCCCGTGTACCTCACGCGTTCCGCTGCCCCCTTGTGGAGCTCCGCCGAATGTCTCGGTGGGCCGCGCGCCTGCGTCCGACGGTCGGGTTCTTCGCGCCCCTGTTCTTGGATACTTCGGGGGCCGCGGTTTGACGACCAGTGCTGTGCCTATGAGGTCGCATTCGCTCGTAAGAGCGAATGAGACAAACACGCGCTCCGTCGTGCAACCTCGTCGTGCGTGCGGCGCGCCCCCCACGTCCGCTGGAAAGGCCTAGCCCAGCGCTTTAGATAGCAGGGTAAAGTGCGGAGCACCCAGTTCCGCGCAGAGTACGCCGCGGAGTATCCGCGGAGTACCTGCGGAGTACTTAGGGAAAACACCGCGGAGTACCCTGCAGAGTACTTGCGGAGTAAAGTATTCAAGATGCCATGTTGGCTTCTGTAGAGGGAGTTCATCTCATAAAACTGGCCAGGACAATTTGGAGCAGGGAAGAATATCAGAGGTCAGCGTTGCGAGGATGTCTCAGGATGAGGACGAGGAAGGTCATGCTGATGATAATGATGGCGATGGCGGCAGCCGCGCGGGAGGCAAAATCTGGCGGGGCAAATTTCGGCGGGAAGCAAGTGCGAGGATGGCTCAGGCGACGGTGGCCAGATTACTTCAACTCAAAGAATATCGGATCCCAGAATGCTGCGGATGCTTTAAGCGGGATGCGCCGGTGTGGTGAAGATGTCCCAGGCGAGAGCGCTAATAATCACTTGTCGTTGCGCGTTGGAGCCCTGACTTCCGAGGATGTCTCACGAGGAACGGGCCTCCTCCTCCTCCTCCTCCTCCTCCTCCTCCTCCTCCTCTGCGTCGTTGTCGTCGTCTTCCTCCTCCTCCTCCGTGTCCTCCTCCACCTCCTCCTCTTTTCAGAGTCAAGGGCGCGCGATTGCGGTAAACCGCCGTGAGGCGCTCTAATGGGACGGATTGCCACGGTGAGGCAAGGATATGAAGGGGTAGCCAGGAGTCGGAGGACACCCCAGCGTCCTCATCCCATTCGTCCCCTCAATGATGCGCTGTCTCTTCTCGGGACTGGGGGGGCAAGGAACACCTTCGTAGTGGGTCTGATTTGCCGGGCCATCGAACATTCATTTGCGTGGCAATCGAATCGGTCACCCAGGATGCCGGTTCTGCCTCGACGAAGCCTCATGGACGATGTTGGGGTTCTTCCCCCCTAATCTCATGGTGGGGCTCGCCAGCCACCGGCGCTTGATACCCGGTCCCCCCTTGGGCGTTGGTACCCATAAGCCAATCGAATTCTAACAAGCTCCTCCTCCTCCTCCTCCTCCTCCTCCTCCTCCTCCTCTTCCTCCTCTCCTCTGCCGGCCGAACCGGGCCGAACCGCAGCCGGGCCAGCCAAAACGGGGACGAGGACGAGGATGAGGAGGAGGACGACGTCGACGACGACGGCGACGACGACGACGACGGCGACGGCGACGGCGACGGCGACGGCGACGGACGACGGACGACGACGACGACGACGACGACGACGACGACGACGACGACGACGACGACGACGACGACGACGACGCCGCCGCCGCCGCCGCCGCCGCCGCCGCTCTCGTCGCCGTCTTCGCCGCCGTCGTCATCGTCGCCGTCGTGGCGCACCCCTCGACTTCGAATCCGTCCAAAACGGGTCCTCGGACCTCTCCCAGGGTCAAAAGGCACCAGCTTCTGTCGCCGCGTCCGGCCGCGGCGACGCGGGGGGCCCCCGAAGGCCAGAAAGCCTCGGTGCTCGCGGGGTCGTGGGGCGCACCACGACGACGACGACGACGACGACGACGACGACGGCGGCGGCGGCGGCGGCGGCGGTGGCGACGGCGTCGTCGCCGTCGTCGTCGACGTGCACCCCCCGACCCAAATCAGTTCCGAACGGGTCCCCGGACTCTTCCCAGGATCAAAACGCACCAGCCTCTGTCGCCGCGTCCGGCCGTGGCGACGAGGGGGGCCCCGAAGGCCACAAAGCCTCGGTGCTCGAGGGGTCGGGGGGTGCACCACGACGACGACGACGACGACGACGACGATGACGACGACGACGACGACGACGGCGGCGGCGGCGGCGGCGGCGGCGGCGGCGACGGCGTCGTCGCCGTCGTCGTCGTGCGCCCACCCGACCCAGAATCCGTCCCAATCGGGCCCCAGGACTCTTCTCAAGGTCAAAAAGCACCAGCCTCTGTCACCGCGTCCGGCCGCGGCGACGAGGGGGGCCCAGGAAGGCCAGAAAGCCTCGGTGCTCGAAGGGTCGGGGGTGTGTACCACGACGACGACGACGACGACGACGACGACGACGACGACGACGACGACGACGACGACGACGGCGACGGCGGCGGCGGTGGCGGCGGCGGCGGCGGCGGCGACGGCGGCGGCGGCGGCTGCGACGGCGTCGTCGCCGTCGTCGTCGTCGTGCACCCCCCGACCCAAGATCCGTCCCGAACAAGGCTCCGGACCCTTCCCAGGGTCAAAAGGCACCAGCTTCTGTCGCCGCGTCCGGCCGCGGCGACGAGGGGGGCCCCCAAAGGCTACAAAGCCTCGGTGCTCGAGGGGTCGGGGGGTGCACCACGCTGCGTCGTCGTGCACCCCCCGACCCAGAAACGTCCAAAAAGGGTCCCCGGATTTTTCCCAGAGTCAAAAGACACCCGTCTCTGTCGCCGCGTCCGGCCGCGGCGACGGGGGCTCCCGAAGGCCAGGAAGCCTTGGTGCTCGAGGGGTCGGGGGGTGCACCACGACGACGATGACGATGGCGACGACGATGGCGATGGGGACAGTGCTGATGATGACGACTACGGTTTCTGGCTTCGCTACTAAAGCGGCGATGATCTGGAGCACGCGCTTGTACTCCTGCTCCTTCTGTGGGCAGGCGTAGCGCTCTACCAACACGGCCCAACTCACGCTCGGCAAGAGTTGCTTGCGGCCGTCGTTTCGAACCGCCACCGTACCCCGAGGCACGATGTAGTTCTCAGTATTCAGTCCCATGAAGTCTCCATGTAGTCCTCAGTGCTCATGCTCAAGGATTCCCAGAGGGCTCGGACCCCATATCCTCGAATCTCCCAGGCGAGTCTCCGCTGCGGGTGCAACAAGGGGAAAAACGTGGGACCCGAAGTGACATTGGGAACTCTCGGCGCCAAACAGCTCCCATGAGGTTTCGCGGAGCCCCCAACACGTCCCCAGAGATTGCCCAAAAGGGGCTCGGGCAGCTCCAGGAGGTGCCCCAAGAAGCGCTCAAGTGGCCCCAAGAATGCGCCCTTGTGGATTGTGACCCAAACCCAGGCACTGCGGCGGCATGTGCCGAAGGCTGTAAATACTTGCGGATCGCGCAACTTGAATTCTCCATGAAGAAGAACTTACCCGCCATTGCGCGTCTTGGCATTTTGAGGCGTGCTCGAATGCCTTGTGCTGTCTGGATGAGCTTATGTGATCTTCCAAGAACCCCCCCTCTCTATCAGCGCCCCGGCGCGTGCACGGCCTCCCTTTCTCCGAGGCTCTGTCCCCATGACGGCCCCGGGGGCCCCCCCAGGGAACCTCAATGCCCGATCAGGAAAACAGCATGCACGCTCCGAAGATTTCAGCCATTGCAACTTATTCGGGTTTCCCGCGGCTCAATACGCGCCAAGAGGGCTCCAACATGGCACTGCGACGGTTGAACATGGCAGCGAACATGCTGAACATGCAAAGAAGGCCTTGGGACAGCCCGAGTAAATCCCACCAGCTCTTTAGGGCGTGAGTGGTCTAACGAGCTCGTTCTGCTAAACCCTCTCCTTCCCCTTCGGGGAGGGGGCTTCCCCTCCCCCTACCCCCTACCCTGGACCTGGAGGGAGGGTTTCGCGAGGAATTGGAGCGCCCAAGATGGCCCAATATGGCTGCAAGAGGGCCTCCAAGAGCCCCAGATGGTCTCCAATATCTTGCAAGATAGCCCAAGATGGTTCAAGATAGCTTTCAACATGCATCCAAGAGCTCTCGAGACCGCCCCAGGACGGCTCCAAGTGCCTGTCGAGCCCTCCAAGGAACCCATCAAGAGGC